GGGAGCTGAGGGTTATAGGCAATGACGGCTCCCTGAACCTATTGGTGGCGTGGAGTAATCAGGGTCTCCTCCCACCCCACTGGGCTGGGCTCATACCACCTGGGAGCTCTGCGTCTGAGCCGGAGTAGGGGGGACTGAAGTCTGTATTTTGTGTGGCTCTGGGCTGGACTGTTCGTGGCCACAGCCCACCCTCCGGTGTTCTTTGGGATGGAGTAGGGTGGGGATGGAGCCTTAGGGTAATGGAGGAAAGAACCAGGTCTACCCAAGCGGGAGCAGGCCTGAGCTAGGGCCCCTAGGACACAGCCCTGCCTACTCTGTCTACTCTGACTAGCCCAAGGCCTAGTAGGAGCAGGAATTCCTGGCCCTGGCTGTCACAGGAGCAGGTATGACAGCCATGTGGGTGACACCAGGTCTAGGCACTTGGGTACTCCACTCCACTGGGGTGGACGGGCAGGGTGGCAGACTGGCAGAGGGCCTCCTGGGCACCCTAGTGCCCCCACCGCATCCCACCCCTCCATGGCTCGGGAAGCAGGCCCGGCTGGCACACGGCCTGCGGTGAGCAGGGGGAGGAAGACCTGGGTGCTGTTTGCCTTTGTCTCCGTGGTGACGGCCAGGCGGCGCGCCGCTGTCCGCCAGGCCACTCTCCGAAGCCCAGCACCTTTGCTGGCACCTTCGTCCCCCGCCCCATCAACCAAGGTGAGTTTCCAAGGTAACCGCACCTCTGCCTGCCTGGGAGGCTGGGCAGGTCACAGACAGGGCTCCGGGCTCCTTGGTGATTGCCTGCCAACTTCTCAGCCTCTTTCCTTGACAGAACTGGTTGAAGGAGTTTACTGGCAGCCATGGGGCAGTTCCGCTTGCCTTTTGATGTGAGGGACAGGGCGAGGGTGCCCACGCTGCTGGCCTCCCTACCTGCTCCCAGCCTGGGCCAGTCAGTCAGGGAGGGCCGTGGCGTGGGTACCGTGCGTCTCCCATGATAGAGGGCTTCGGGGTGTGGTTCTACCACCTGTCCTCTGCCAGGTGGCGGTGTTATTACTGTGCTACGATGGAGGAGCTGAGATAAGGTTAGCCGGCCACTCGCCATGGCAGCCGAGACTCGGGGGAGAGCCAGGAGCTCGCAGGCAGGGCTGCTGTCTCCTGCCAAGCACAGATGTGGAACTCTGCCTACCGCCTCCCTGTCCGAAGCACCCTGGTGCTCAGTGGTTATGTGTTGGGCCGCTGAGGTCAGCAGTTTGAAACCACCAATGTTCCTCGGGAGAAAGATGGGGCTGTCTCTTCCCTTTAAGGGTTACAGGGTCGCTATGGGTTGGGATCAACTCAATGACAGTGAGTTTGGTTTTACTGATTTTCCCCTGTTAGGGCTCCAGGGCCTGGGCACAGGTGTAGGGCAGAGACTGTGGGATGCCCTGGGCCCCTCCTTCCAATAGAGGGGCCACGTGTACCCAGCATGTCCACACTGCTTGCTATGCTGCAGTCCAGAATTTGAGTCTCCTTGTCAGTCTGCTTCTTCTCACCCTCTGCTTCTCTGCAGAGGAGCCCATGTTGGTCTGCTAACCACAAGGTCAGCAGTTCGAAATGACCAGCTACTCCTAGGGAGAGAGAAGAGGCTTTCTCCCATAAATGTGTATATCCTCAGAAACCCCCAGGGGCAGTTCTACCCTCCTATAGGGTCACTGTGAATTGGAATCAACTTGCTGACAGTGATTTTGGTTTTAGGTTTGGCTTCAGCTCCTCCGAAGGAGCCCCAGTGGTATGGTGGGTTGTGTGTTGGTCAGCGGTTCAAACCCACCAGTTGCTCTACAGGAGAAAGATGAGGCTGACGGCTCCTGTAACGATTTACAAGGTTGGAAACTCACAAGGGCAGCCCTACTCTGCCCTGTAGGGTCGCTGTGAGTTGCTGCTAATGGGTTTTTTGCTTTGGGCTTTTGGCCTCTCTTCCCCTCTCTTGTATGCCCCTCTGGGCTGTTCGCACATTGAACTGGTAGCCCTCAGGGCTGTGCATGACCTGTGGGTGTGTCTGGCAGCTGAGCCCCTCAGGATTAGGGGAGAGTTAATGGAGTAGCCCCTACGGTACCCACTTCTCACACGGATGCAAGGTCCCTGCCTAAGGGCCTTCATGGGCACACTCAGAAGTCAGGGGTCATGCGTGCCCTTTACGGGGAGGACAAGGTCCCACAGGGATCGCAGCTGAGCTTGGCCCCTCTGCATCCCAGTCCTGACCCCAGGCTTAGGTGCATCTTATGCTGGGTGCCTCGGGACAGTGATGCCCAAGGAGGTCAGAGGTTTGGGGTGGACATGGTCTCCCAGAGCTCGGGGTGCACCCTTTCCCACTTTTTGATTAGCACTCAGCTCAGCTCAGCCCCGGGACTTCCCCTTGGAGGGGGAAACCCCTGAAGTTCCTGGGAGCCCAGCTAGAGGGAGTGTGTCACCTCCACCAAGGTGTGTCCTCTCCCCCGCCTACCCATAGAAGGCCACCCCAGGACCCAGGCAGGCCAGGAATGGTGACGTTGGTGCTAGGAAATGACCAGGGCACCAGGCCAGGCTACACCCTCCCCGGGTCCTCCCTGGCGTCTAAAAATAGGCCGCAGAAGAGAGAGATAGGAACCTCTGCCGGCCCAGGGCCAGTTGCAAGATTGTCCCTGGCATCTGGCCCGAGTTTGGGAACCGAGCTGTGGTCTCACTCTGCCATGAGCTCCCTCGGTCAAAGCCCAGTGGGCAGATAGGCACAATGTCCACTGCCTGGATGCTGCCCTCTGCCCAGCGCTGACCCAGGCTGCTGTGTGCCTAGCAGACGTGGTCGAAGCTGCATCCAGCTCAATTCCCATCGAGGCCCTGGGCCATGTCTTGACTTGAATGTTAGTTGGAGCAGCATTGATGACTCACCTCTTGTGCCCGGCAGAGGGTTGGGATGTATGGGAAGCACAGGTCTGGAGGAAGGAATGACGGGGGACAGGTCCAGAGTGGAGACAGCCTAGAGAGTGTTTCTCACTGGGTGCAGTGAGAGACAAGTGTGGGACACTGGCTGGAGCCACGCCACGCAGTGGGTGTTTGGCAGAGGCCACTGGGAGGCCCCTGAAGGAGCAGAGATCCTTTGTCTGGGGACCAACGCTGGATAGTGGCAAGGAGAAAAAGGGACCACAGAGATTGGACCTGAACCCACATTCCTGGGCCCTAAATGGAAGCTGCCACTCGGGGGTGGGGGTGGGGCATGTACATCAGTGGATCTGTGCAGCACACACATGCTCATGGCTAATGGATGTGTGCCCCCCCCCCCTTCCATCCTCCCATTAGCTCCAGCCTGGCCTTGTCACTCGTAGGAAGGTGTGACCCCGTGTGGCCAGGTCGTCTGAATTTATCTAAGAAGCCGGAAATGTGGATTTTTACATGAAGTCACCCAACCTTTCCCTCTTGGCTCAAAAAATGCAACAGCACTTGGCTAGCCAAACACCACACACGCGTGAGGTGGCTTTGGCCTGGTTCTTGGGCCCTGGCTGGCGTCTGCAGCCTGCACCTCATAGCTTCTTTGCAAGGAGCATCCCCGTGGCGGCGTGGGGGGCACGAGGTTGAGAAGTGAGCCCAGTGAAGAAGGAAGGGAGAGACCGCTCAGCTCGCACTGGGCGATACCCCCCAGGCTTTGTTAGGTGCTTCGTCCTTTCCAGAGATCTCCAAAGAATTGTTCCCTTTGTTCCTCCCAGCAGGCCCTCCTCCACGGGCCTGGAGCTCCAGTAGTGACCCCACCTCCAGCACCCCCAGGCCCCTGTAGCAGCCAGTCCAGCCTCCGGAGCTCAGCTTTCCCCAGGCCCACGGCCTGGCCCCCAGTGCCATCAGCTGTGGGGGGGTGGCAGAGCTGAGGAGGCGTTGCTACCACAGCCCCTGGTCTGGGGTGTGTTGCTCCCTGGGAGGCTGCTGGACACTAAGTCTCCAATTGTGTCCTTGCCCTTGTTTTGGAACTATGGGAAGCTGGAAATAGAAACAGTAGTAGTGAAAGTGGCTTAATAAGCCCCATTGCCCATCCTCAGATCACCACAGGTCATTCTTGTTTCACCGAGTAGCGCCCATCCTGCTTGCCCCACAGTGTTCCTGCAGACCCCGGGCGTACGTACCATCCCTCAGGATGAGTTCCCATTTAGCCTCCTAGTAACTTCGCCAGCACTCTCCCACCTAAGAACAGACTGTGATAGTAGCAAACCCCCAGCAGTGTTCAGCTAGCCCTGTTTGCCTCTTGTTGGTCCGAGCATGGAACTGCTTAGCATGCTCTACCACCCACGACCATCCTCGACTAGGATTTCCTTATGGAGTCTTGGGTGGCGTTGTCGGGTAAGCATTGGACTGCTAACTTACAAGGTCAGCGGTTCAAACCCACCAGCCACTCAGCAGGAGAAAGATGAGGCTGTCTGTTCCCATAAAGATTTACAGCCTCAGAAATCCTATGTAGAGGAGTGGTGTAGTGGGTTACACGTTGAGCTGCTAATCCCAAGGTCCGCAGTTCAAAAGCACCAGCTGCTTCACCAGGAGAAAGAGGAGGCTCTCTACTCCCATAAAGAGGTGCAGTCTTGGAAACCCACAGGGGCAGTTCTACCCTGTCCTACAGGGTTGCCGTGAGTCGAATCCACTTGATTGGCTGCAGTTTCTTCTTTGCCTCTGTTTTTCCCTGCCCGGCATGGAGGACTTCTGTTGGTAGGGTGCGCATCTCATCCCTGAAGGAATCCTAGGATCTCCCCTCCTGCGTGCTTTCTTCTTGCTTCCTCGTGCTACACACTGCCAGCAGAGCTTGTCGGGATGGTGAGACTGAACTGCCGGGACGAGACTGGCTGTGCTGCCACTTGTCCAGATCTTTGATCAGCCCCGTGAAGTTCACAGGCACGCTCTCAGCTCCGTGACCCTTCGTGATTTCAGTTGCACCCACGCACCCAGGCTGAAGGCCCAATGGTGGCGGAGCATGCCGGCCGCTCAGGTCTTGCCATTTGGCCACCTTCTCAGCGTCATTGGCGCTCTGGAGAGCATCGGCC